TAATAACTCAATTTTATATTTTTCTATGAAGGATATATCTGACAAGATAGCAGCATGGTCTCCTTGTAAAGCCTTTTTTCTTCTCAATAAACAAAAATGTTGCTCAGGTTTCTTCTCCCTCTTACTTCCCCACTTCCCTTTTTTGTCTTTCTCTTCTTGTTCTTCCCTTCCCCTTCACACTCAATTCCACCACAATGCTGTAAGTTGGCACAGAGCAAGGTATGAATCCACAGGACGGTATTTAAACATGGAGTGTCAGACCCCAGTCATTGTGAGGAGGGTATCCGTGTGGGGGTGGGGGGCAGTCGAGCATGAGGTATCAGAACCTGAGTGCATTTTCGAGGCCATCTGTGCAAGGGGACGGATGACGGCAATGGGAGACTGGTTACCATCAAATAGGGCGGTTGATCAAATAAGTAAACATGGTAAGAATAATAAGTAGATTTATTAACAACAGAGAAGGGACTTACAAAAATGGAACGGGAGAAAAATCAGAATCAACCCTGTTGTGTTGGATTTAGAATTGTACTATTGGTGTGAAGTAGTAACTTTCGTTAAATAGAGGTAGACATAGAAATATAGATGTAAACATGTATTTGTGTGTGTATGCACATGTCTACATACATATATTCTTTTTTTTTTTTAAGTTCTTAGTTTATTATTCCTCTCATGAAAACCAGCTCAATCACCACAGATTCAGTCACGGATGAATCTTTACATCTGTCGTCCAGTCTCTACCTCACTTTTTTGCCAGCACCAACATTGGCCTCTGCAGTCACCCTCACTTTGCTTCATTCTGCTCTTGTGTTCCTTTCACTGTTAGGCCTTTTTCTTCTCACACAGGCCATGTCTTGCAAGTCTATGTTTGGGTTCATGTTTCTTTGCGCGATCCAAGGAATCATAAATCACGCCAAAGCCAGTGGTCTTGCCACCACCGGAATGGGTTCTGAATCCAAATACAAACATGACGTCTGATGTAGTCTTGTACACTTTGGCTAGTTTTTCCCGAATTTCTGTCTTAGGTATCATTGCCTTCCCAGGGTAAAGGATGTCATGACCATTTGTTTCCGTTGAAGTTGTCTGTTGGTCATGAGCTTCCTGGTCTGTATAGTAACTGTGTCATTCATGATGGCCACTGACCCTCTAGCAGCCAGGGAGGAAAAGCTACAGATATTCTTGAGCCCTGTCTACTGAAAGGGCTTAGGAGCAGCAATTCCCCAGTAGCAATGAGTGTATTTAACCCTAGATCTTAGCTTCTAAATATCATTCTCCCCTAAAAGAAACAAGGACTGAGGCAGAAGGGAAAGTACAATATGAGCTGGACGCATCCTTTTGAGCTAAAAAACAAGGAGCATCCTAAGTAAGGGAACAAATTGAGTTCTTGAGCCACCCAATAAAATGCTATAGGAAGAAAGAACCTAGCATCCCTTCTATAATGTCTGCCAAAGTGTATAACCTGAATCACAAGAAGACTTTAGACAAACTCAAATTTAAGGACACTCTCCATGGAAAACTGGCTGGTAATCTTCAAAATGTCAGGGTCATGAAAGCCCAGGACACACAGGGGAACAGGTTTGGGATTAATGGAGATGACAGAAACATGTCTACTGGATCCTTCTGCTATACAGGAAACCACTGGGATAATTGATAGGTAGTGAATGGAATCTCAGGATGGTAGTAACATATCAGTGTTAATTTCCTGATTTGATGGTTGTATTGTGTTTATGTAGGACAATGTCTTTGTAGAAAATATACATTAAAGTTTCACAGAGGGGGACGGGAGATCGGCTGGCAACTTTCAAATGGTTCAGAAAAAAAACTTTGTTGTCATACTGTACTTGCAACTCTTCTGTAAGTTTGAGATTGTTTCAAAATACAATAAAAATGTTTAGTTCCTACAGTTGTATTTAATTGTTCAAATTTCCCCCAGTATATGTGGATTTTAGGTGTTAATTGATGATGGACTTTCCGGTCTGTCGTGAGAGTTGTCAGTGGTGTGGTCTCGACTGACATCTTTCAATAACTTGAAAATGTGTTTATTTGCAGCTACTAAGATCTGATTCACTTTCCAAATCTTATATAGCTTGTCATTTAAATATTAATATCCCCTCCTTAAGGTTATTATTTTAAAACCCATATCAAAAACAAGTGGGAAGTATAATGAAGTTCCTTGGCCCTGAAGAAATCTGTTCTAAAAACTATTGAAACAAATTGCATGAAAAAATGATGGATAGAATAAACTTAGCATTGACAGTAGTGAATCTGTCACCTCATCTCTAGCTATGAAGTTCGGTGTCTTCTCAGTGAGAACAAAATAGATGAGTAAATACTTTTCCATCACATACAAACAAGTTTTTATAACATTTCTTTTTTTTTTAAAGATTTTTATTGGTGAATTGGGGGATGGGAACAGCCCTGGGGAATTGGGGGAAGAGGAACAGACAAGTTGCTGTCCTTTTGTTCTTCAGTCTAGTTGTGGAGGACATTGCTTCACTGGCCCAAGTTGGTACCATCATTGCGCTCTTCCCGGGCGAGGCAGATCAGTCGCTGACTTCCGGATGGCCGCTCATGCTGGTTGCTGGCTACACACAGTAGCCCATGGCAACCCACTGCAGCAGGGGCTGCAGCATAGGACGTTGCTGGTGACTCATGGTATCCCAGCTCCAGGATGAGCTGTTGTTCAGCATCTTAGCTGTAGAGGGCAGGGTCACTGGCCCTCATATGTGGGATCTGAACTGGGGCCCTCTAGCATCCCAAGCCAGCTCTTATCCAACGCACCACTCGGCCGGCCCTATAACATTTCTGTTTTAAAATGCCAAGTTGGACTGCACAAATTTCAGGAGCACACTGATGCCTACCTGCCTGCCATTTTCTAGTGGAGAGATCTTTTGATTTACCTGGGATTACAAAGTGATTGCATCTCCGCAATTGTTCATGGCTCTTCCAGTACATTCCAGCAGGTGGCAGTCTAGGAGAGTAACAGTTCTCATTCTAACCCATCCCCCTGCCTACCAGCAAAACGGAAAGAATGTGGACTCAGCAATGTGCCTGCTCTTCTCTGGCATAAGAATGGGATTTCCAAGGTTCTTTCAAAATGGGCACTTAGGCTTAGAGAGTATCACAAGAAAGGAGCCAAAAATAATTTTGTGTATATTTGTGACTACTCAGTATTCTGAAGCTCAAAATTTCTTTTGTTTTTCCTTCTTTTTTTTATGATTTCTAGAAATTCCTCTGGTTTTATATCTCTTTGCCCTGATTTCTCTGACATGGCTTTGGGGAGGCCTTCACATGGCTTACAGACACTTCTGGATGTTGGTCCTCTTTGTTATTTTCAACAGTCTGCAGGTAAGCCTTAAAATTTGGTTACTGATGGCACACATGTATGCTATTGAACATGGCATTGAGTTTCATTGTCAAGGAATCAAGTGTCCACACAGATGTGAATTTGTGCGCATAATAACATCACGCAGAGTCATAGAAAAAAATGATGGGGATTCAATCTTTAACACCTGAAATATGGCTGGACTTCTAACTTGCTGATTATACAGAAAGGGAGAACATAAAATAGTGACCTTTCTTTATTTTGATAACATCTAAGTAACTACAAAAACATATTTTTGTTCAACAGGATTGATGTTTATAAACTTTGCAGGTGGCAGCCATGGAGAACCTGTGCTCATATTTGGACCAGGCTGTGTCTAGAAATTAGATCAATTGAAGAGTGAAATAGATAGCAATGTTCAAGCAGTCCCCTTTTAAATCTGGTGCTTAGTGAAATGAGTGTTTTGGTTCACTAAAAAATGATTGGCGTCCTCTGAGTTTGGCAATGCCCAGCTTAAATTAGTTTTGTGTGCGTGCTTGGATAGCATAACTAGAAATTAAGTAACTATAGCAAAAATAAAGCTGACTCTTTAGTGCTTTTGTTAGATGGAAAAAAGTTGTACCCTGAAATTAACAAATGGAACAAATGAACTCATTTTCCTTATTTTCCAAAGTGAAAAGTTCTGTTCTAGACTACAATAATTTCTTTAATTTACAGAGGTATCTCTAAATGGTCCTTATTCTGACCATCTTGCAAGGAACATGTGTAGAAAAAACATATTAGGATTATGTCATACAACTAAAATATGACTCAAAGCATAGTTAGTTTTGCTTTTTAGGAGGCAAATTCTTTAAGAAGAGCATATTTTACAGCAGGGTGCCTAATCAAAGCATTATATCAACTTAGGAAGGGGAAAATATACAGTAACTTCAAAGTTGGAATCAAGTTGATGCAAATTGGTATGTGGATATCTCTAGATACATTTATAACTAAGCGTCTACTAGCACAGTGTGCTAATGCTGCCAGTACCAGCCCTGCTCCTGTAGGATCCGGTGATTCAAGCCAATAAACAACCAGCTATAAGCGTAAGCTACGGCAGGCGCCATGTAAACAAAGTGTTATGAGAGCTGAGTGAAGGGCCTGTTTACTCCTGTCTGTTCTAGCATTTGAGCTGATCCCCAAAAGTGAGCCCCTCAAATCAGAGTCCCTGTCCCTCGTCCCCTTTGAAGCCCTAGGGCTTAGTGTAACTGACGCCAAGGCCCACGCTGACAGCCTACAGATACATTTTATTTGGTAGACACACAATGGCACACACACCAGTTGTTAGATATATATTTTTTTTTAATATTTGCTGCACACTTTTAATATTGAGAAACCCTAAATTTCTGGCTTTTCTTTCATGGCAATACATGCTGGGCGGCAATTTTCAAGTTCTGAGTAGATGTTGCCCCTTTAGATGGGGCACGTGACCTCATTATTCCTGGAAGACTTAATTCATTCATTTTTACCTGCCCATGAGTTTGTGATACCTTCATGTTTATTCAGTAAGTGAAGAGTGTGTGGTGAGAGGTGGGTATTTCAGGCAGAGAAAAATAGTGTTCACCTGGGCTACCAAAAGGGCAAGTGATGAATCTTGCCTAGGTTAAGCAAACGGGTGGAGGAAAGCAAGAAAGGTTTTGCAGTTAGAAGGTAATGGTGGGAGAGGAGAGAGAAGGGTGGGTTGGCTTCAGTGTTATGTTCCCACATCGGGATGGGATGTAAACTTCAGCTTCTAAGCAATGGGAAATTTTGGAGGGGGTAAGGCGGGGTGGGGGAGGAGGTTGTCCGTTTTGTTCTGATTTTTTTGTTGCTGCTGTTGGTGTTTTTGTTGTCTTTACATTTTTTAAATTGTGAATGGGAATGACATGCTCATACCGACCATTTAGAAGGATAACTAGAAACGTTTAGGAGGGTATGGAAAAGAGGAGCTGCTCCAGGCAGGTGGGTTATTGTCATATTCCAGCCTATAACATTCTGGCAATGTGCCTGGGAATAGAGAGTAGGTGACAGGTTTAAGAATTCTTGTAGAGATAAATATTAATGAACTTTGGTTAGCCAATTAACTGTAGGCATGTAGAGTGTGAGAGAGCAACATCACTTAGAAATGCGTGGCTCGGATCAATGGCTGGGCACTGACACCTTTAGTCAACATGGAGGTCACATCAAGAGCCGGGTTCTAGGAAGTATGTGGTGAAGCTGGAGAGTTGGTGAGATTTAGGAAACAAAGGTACCAATGTTTTAGTAACTACGTATAGGGAGCGGGCCAGTGAAAGAGATTGTTAATGAAAGAGAACCATGGTAGGGCGGTTTGGAGTTGCTGGTAGCAAAGAAACCTTCAAAAGGAAAACAGTATCTAACTCTGTCTTGTGTAGCAGAGAAGACAAGTGGAATGAGAAGTTTGGTCCAGTGTCGTGCTGCCCCGGTTGTAGTGTGCATCGGAATCACATGAAGGGCTTGTTCAAACGTTTACACATTGTCAGGCCCCACACCCAGAGTTTCTGTGCAGTAGATCTGGGTGAGATCTGAGAATCTGCAAGTCTAACAGGTTCCTAGATGATGCTGATGCAGCTGGTCTGGGGACCACAGTTTGAGAACCCCTGATATAGTAGAGCATGATCCTAACTCCACCAGCCTGCTCTCTGGTTGACTTCAGCTGAGTCATGGATACTTACCCGATTCTACTTTCTTTGGCTGTGAAATGAGAATAAATACTATTTAGGATTATGGTGTGATTTAATAAAATGGTATAATGAATTGAAAGCAATTGTACAGTACCTCACACCTAAAGAACAGTTATTTTTATTCAAGAAATTTAATGGAAAATGCAAAGAGAGAGAAAGTAATAGCTTAGGAAGGAAGGTTGGTTGGTTGGTTGGTTGGTTGGTTGGTTGGTTGGTTGGTCAGTTGGTTGGTTGGTTGGTCGGTTGAAAGGATAGTTTATTGTTTTTTGTTTTCTTTGCTCATTGTGAAAAGAACCAACAAAGAAGGAGAAACTGACCACTGGAGGAAAGACTCATTGCTTTGGCAAGATCATGGACAGGGCAGAAGAACTGGAGACAGGGCTTATCTGCGGGAGAAGTGGAGATGTTTCTCCCAGGTTAGGGAAAGAAGGAAGGATGGGTAAGCATGAAAAAACTATTCTAGAGCTAAAAGTATGGAAAGTTGTAATTTACACCTAATGCCCTCTCTTTTCTCTGCAAGTCAGCATGCAAAGGCATTTGTTGAGATGAATGGATTGAAAGCTTGAGGTAAAATAATAAAAGGTATGGAGCAGTTTCTAAGCTGAAAGTAAATATAAATGATGGTGGGTTGGAAGATGGTCAAGAAATGGACTGCTTAGAGAGAGATTGGTGGGGTTCAGTGGAGGTTGGAAACCTGAAATCTAATTGAACCAATCAGCAGTAATTAAACAAATATAAGACTAAAATGGCAACCAGTGTAACCTGCCAAACCACATGCACAGGAAAAAGTCTATTGAGGTCTTACGAAGGTTAACTAATAAAGGAGGACTCTTGAGCATTAAACTATATTTTGTAGAGAGATATAAAAAAAATCATTATGGTTCTTTTTCTTTGAGGAACCTAATACAAGCTAAGTATAAGTAAAAACTAACAATATTTCAAACTTATGTTTAATGAGCTTAACTCCATCTCCGTGGCACTATTGAAGCAATGATTTTGTGTCACTCTTGCCTGGTCTCTGGCATATTCCTGGTACTAGTACTCAGCGAATCAGTCCTAAAATGAATGCCTATTTAGAAACACTTGGAAAATATGATTTCTCTAGGGTTTATTGGGTTCATTTAATTTATAAACTGCCTCATGTCTGCATATCCATGGAATATGGCTGTGTAGTAGGAAGTTCTTCAAAGTATGTTCCCATGAAGACTTAATTGTGGGGGTTTTTAGTTTGTTTTGTTTTTTTTTGTATGTTTGTTTGTTTTCTGGCCTTTGTATTTTTTTTTTTACTGGCTTTTATCAACACCTGTGACCACAGAAGTATGTTTTGTGTCTTATGCTTGGCTACTGTATTTTGATCAGAGGAGATTAGAGCCTCATTTTTCATCCAGGTTATTATTGTGTCATAGGCACTCTGAGACTGATGGATGAAAGGTATTCTGATTTTTTGCATTTACTATTTGATGCAGTTTTAAAAAGGGACTCTTGATCATTTGAAATATTATCAGGAATTCTTGATGACTTTATGAAGACTCAGGTTAAGCTATCAAATGTCTAATACATATAAGCATTTAAGACAATATATATTAAGTACTTTATAAAGCATAATGGGTACAAATACAAAAGTGAGGTAAACAAATCATCATTTTAAATATGTCTACTATTATTTTTATAACTTAATAATCTTCTTGAGCATTGTGGCCATCACCAGTGCAAGACTCACCTCCTACCAGCTTTCCTTCCCCAAATGGGAAAGAGTCTATTCCTCAATAGGAAAATTTTGCGAATGACTTAAATTACATTCACAGACTATCCAGAAACCAATCACATGGTGACAGGTAGTCTGGCCAGGCCTGGGTCATGAGCAGACTCCAGTGGTGGAAGGAGTTAAGTTATCTCACAAAACCCACATGGAATGGAATTCCCACCAGAAGAAAGGATTCTTTTACCAATAAAAGGGGGGGCAACCATGCTAAGCAGGCCAAAGTCACAGATGTCCACTCTGTGGACAGTAGCTCTTGTCAAACCACTAGGAACTTTCCTCAGTGTGACATTAGTTTATTTTGAATATCCTTGGGATTCATCATAACAGCCAAATGTCTCTATATGGTCCACAAGAAATTCATAAGGGACTATGTTTAATATTTTTCTTAATTCCCTGAGCCATTAATCCATTAACCTTTATTTAAAATAAAAAAAGTTGAGTTTGTCATTTCTAAGTGGATTTATGCTAATACTTATAGATCACAACTTTCTTAAACTGTTTAGTCCAAAGTACAGCATATCCAAATTTGTGTAACAATTAA